TCAATGTTTGACACTCTCGGATCCTTTTCCAAGAATTGTTTCCACTGCACAGGCCATGCAAGTATCAATTTAATGAGGTGCTCTGAAAATGATAAGGTGATGGTTCTTTTCATAGTTAAATGGATCTTTTCCATAGTTTAATTTCCTGCTTCCGGTTCCATTCTGTCACTTTAATCACCTACCCATGTATGTGTAATTGTTTGTATGTTAGTTATGTGTTCGTGAATCGTGACTTAGTTAATAAAACTTGTGCACAATATGTATTTGGTTCTGATTCTCTGCTTGCAAGCAAAGTCTATTTTACGATCTTGTTACATGCTCTAAGTGCTGTACATGCTAAGAAAGAATTATTTTCTGTGGCCATGAAAGATACCCTTTTCTTAGAATAAATGAATAATCAAAAGAGTTTGTTGGACGAACTGATTAATTGATTGTAATATTAATTTAGCTACATCAAGTTAATCCAATTAACTGACCCAAATATTCATAATTAATCATAACAAGTGAGTTATTATTAAAATTTAACCTTTGAGCTAACTCGTTACAACTGTGAATTCGGACATACTTCTTTTGTCACATACTGTACTGTTTTTCAACTACTATATAGTAGGGAAGTGTGATTTCAGATGCAGCCCATGTATTCCCACTGCCATATTGCGAAGTATTGCCAGTTAACTTTAATAAGTTAAAGTAATAATTCCTGGTGCTTGTGGAATCATGATGATTCTTGTCATATAGCTTGAAATTATTTTAAAAAGAATCTTATGTCCATGTCCATACCAAACCTAGCCTGGATGCCAGCCCGAACCCCGCCAACAACATTTTAGTCTGGACTCGATCCATTAAGGAGTAATTATGATCGGTTCAGAATTAGTCGGGCCAATCAAATTGCCAGGGCGGGCTTTATACGATGATGGACAGATGATCTGCAGTTACGTATTCATCGCGTTATCAAAGAGCGCTTGGGTTGAACTGGTTTCCCTCAGAGATGAGTGCAGCTGGAGAACTGATATACTCCGCTATCGCGTCTGTTGTAAAAGAAATCGACAGCGCATTCATTTTAAAAGACGAACAGAGAACTGCAATCAAGGCATTTGTTGATCAGAAAGATGTGTTTGCCGTCCTTCCTACGGGACTCGGCTAAAGTTTAATTTATCAGCTGGCTCCAATGGTCGCTAAGAAGATGGGACGCAATGAAAACCCTGCGGTCGTTGTGGTTTCTCCTTTGGTCGCACTCATGGAGGACCAAGTAAAAGAAGCAACACTCATTATTTTACTACTTCTTCCAGTGTGCGTGTAGTTCTGTTGTTGAAAACTTTGCTTAGGTCATAAAAAAAAACACTTACTGCGTTGCTCTGATTGGTTGTAGGTCTATCCAATTGAGTGCAGAGTTTGTTTTTTTCCTTGTTCGGTTAAGACACGCGTCATAATCAAAGCCCTATGGAGCAGTATCAGACTCACATTCTGACTAGAATATGAGTATGACGAAGTCAGGCTATACCAAACCACATCTGAAACAAAATTTGAAAGAAAAAAAAAATATCTGTGGATGCCCATTCTTTGAACTATTTTCAGGAGTGATTCAGTCCAATGGAAAAAAAAAAATCCAAGTGCTGGAAAAACCAGAAGCCTTAACATTTATAAACTTCAAATCACCGATCCACTGCAGTAAACGAAGAGACGGAACAGAGGGGAAAATACACAGCTGCCACAGGAGATCATGGTGAACTTAAATATGTGTTCACACACTAAATGCCAGCAGATGCTCATGGAACACAATCAATGACTCCGGCCGCTCTGGGATGTTTCTTTGAGCTTGCAGAGGGTATGATACCGTCCATGGCTCTCTAGCTCTCTCTCTCTCTTCTCTGTTGAGTTCTGCCATTCTATCAATGTCAGAATCAAAGTGCTAGGCTAGTTCATCTTTTAAAGACAGCCCAGCCTCTGTTTATAGCTGGAGGCAGAGGTCTGTATGGCTCACAAGAGATTTTTGCTTTTGCTTTTTGTTTCAAATGAGTAATAGCAACAACATCCATCTCTAACTCCCTTTATAACCCACACACAAACACACATACAAGCATTGTATTTTGTAAAAAAAAAAAAAAACATAAAGCATTGTACAAACACACACACATGCATTTTTGTGAAAAGCATTGTTGCTTTAACTTTAACTGACTTATTTAATACTTATTTGATTTATTTAACAAGTAGTGCTGTTTTCATATGGAAACATTTAAACATGAATATTAGCGATTGTATTTGGGCCTGTGCACATTCAGTGCCAAACCACACTAATGAACTAAAATGTTCATCCAGGTCTACAATTATGCTGAATAAAACATGGGTCGAATCCCTAGTGGAAGCCTTGTTCAGCTTTTATGAAGCAGTGAGGTGTGAAGTACTACAGCAAATGGGAAAAACACACTGCCTCTATTCTTACATAATGAAATGCTCACAGAAACGAGTATAAAGTGCATCAAATAAAATGGGGTTCAAATTGATGGGGGTCACAGTAGAACTATACAGCTGTCTTGGTTTTGGCAAGGTTCACAAATCCTGATGGATGCCAGAAGGGCTGAATTACTGCAATGAACTTAGTGCTAATATTTGTTTGAGTGAGAAAAATGGCCTGAGCGGAAATTAATGTATCCCATTCTTTGAAAGTCCTATATAGAAGGCATTGACCAACAATGCTTATTTCTTTTGGATTGGCCATCACAACTCTTTGAAATGATGGATTCATGGTTTTATATTATTTTACATTTACATGTCATTTGAGAAATTTTACATTAATTTACATTTAATTTGTAAGGTCTTACACGATTTTACCATTAAATTGTGGATAAGGTTTACTCTTCTTGGTGCATCCATTTATCTCGATTTATCAATTCCATCAATTATTTGTTAATTGGGATTGATTAGTAAAGCCTAGACAGTGTTTATCTCTAGTGTCTCAGGGTGAAACAAAGCAACAAAAGCCAGATATCTTGGCATTGCACACACAATTTTTTGCATCTGTTACCTGCCATGAAATTGAGGGGGTGTTATGGATTAGTAATGGTGTGTGATTATGTTTGAAGATGTTTACTTTCACATCAAAAAAAGGAAAAAGGAAGCGTGAGCCGCCTGAAAAAATGGAAGACAGCCTGGGAATAATAAAGCCTTAGCCCTTGTAGAGGAAAAATGATGTATTTGTATTTAATTTGCAAACATCATACAAAATATTGAAAAGTATGCAATCTTAAATATTCAAAAAATAATTTTTAAACTGAAATTAAAACACTCACCTTAGAAAAGAGGATAGACACCCATCATAAACCTTGTTGATATGAAAATAACAACAACAACTGTGAAATTTAAGGTTGAAACAACCATTACAATAATTCATATTCTGGTTTCACCTGCATATGTGATTCAGGAATGTAAGGCAGCAATGATATGCAGCGTCTTGTTTGCTGCCACTTTTACCCAGGGTGTCCCCCAGGGCTCAGTCATTGGCCCTCTGGTCTTTCTCAACATTTCCTCATAGACAAATAATGTGATGTCAGTTCCAGGTCTATACTTTCCTTTTCCCTAATTACTGCACATTTGTATGCTGTTTTTTTTCCACCAAATTTGTTTTAATTTGGGAAATGTTTTAAATGAAACGCATTACAATATTGAGTCAATTATTATAAAAAAAACAAAAAAACAAATTATGTTGCTCAATTGACACAATTTCAGGTTAAAAGACGCAAATATGTCTCACATTAAAAGAATGCTGAAAGGGCTAAAATATAAATAATTCTAAACAGATAAAGCCTAAAACTTATAGCACCCCCTGTAACCATCCAGTTTCTTACTAAATATATTGACCCCAGATGTAGAGATCCTTCAGATTAATGATTCAGGAAAGTTTCAATCACTTGTAGTGAACAGCTCTCCTTGGAAATCAGGGCTCAATCAAGCCTGAAAAAACGGAGGAAAAAAACGTCTTTATATCACAGTTTGACACCCTCGGCCAGCTAACTCTCTTGAACACCTGGTTTTGAGCTACACTTGGAAGCTTTAGGGGATCATCTGGACATAGCATATAATATTCTGTGTCCCATCTGAAAGTACTGACTAGATAGGCCTAATCATTAAGCATTTTAACATCTGATTAATTCATATTTCTTCAGAAATCTTCATCAGTGCAAATCTAGATGGTATTTTTTTGATTATTTTATATTTTATCAAATATATTCCTTACATGGAGCCTTAGTGAAACTCATCAGTGAACAAAGATTGAGTTGTAGCTATATTAGTTCTTCAGAAAGAGGGACTTCAGGGACAATGCCAGTTATTTTCTTGTTTGAGTGTGTGCTTGTGTGAAGTGAGAGAAACTGAATACCAAAACCACATGAATTACTATGCTGTACCATTATGTCAGACAGAACTTTTGTTGAAAGCATAAAAGATGTGAAGATCTAACTGTGCTTTTCTTTTGTGCTTTCAATCACCTACTGTCCTTCATTAACTGTGAATTCTATTCTCTTAATTAAATTGACAAAATCACCATATCTTTGTAGGTTAATAGCTGTTGCTGTGAATACCTTAACCATATTAGGGATAGATCACCCAAAATTTAAAGACTGAATATTCTGTCATAATTTACTCACCCTCATGTCGGAAGTCAGTGGTCAACAAAACTGTTGGTTTACAAAAAAGAAAGTCATACGGGTTTGGAACAACATGTTGGGGTGAGTAAATGAGTAAATTGCATCATTTTCGTTTCTTTAAAGTCTTTAAAGCAAGGATCACCGATATATGTGGTGAAAATATGTGCATAGGCTGTATTTTTAAGGGAATTTATGGTAGAAATGTTTAATGATTTTTTAAATCAAACCTTTCTGACTTTACAGAAATTGGCTTTCAAAAATAACCATCCTGAGAAATATTCACTGGAGTAAAAAGTGTCTTACCATGTAGATGTGTTTTGATTTAGCATATCAGTTATAAAAGGAATGTGTAATCTTGAAATGACTAACTGTTTGTTTGCTCAATCTCTGCTCAGCTTTTTCTGGACTTGTGTCATCTTATGTCACCGAGTCCACGTAAACCCCATGGCGCAGCTGTACTACAACAAGGCCAGTAACTCCCCGTACCGCGATCGCATCCCCCTGCAGATCGTGAGGGCGGAGGTTGAGCTGTCTGCCAAGGAACGAGCCTACCTGACCGCGGTCGAGAAGGGCGACTATGCTGGAGTTAAACAGGCCCTTGAGGAGGCCGATATCTATTACAACATCAACGTGAACTGCCTGGACCCATTGGGCCGCAGCGGACTCCTCATCGCTATTGAGAATGAGAACCTGGAGGTGATGGAGCTGTTGTTGAGTCATTGCGTGCTCATGGGCGACGCTCTCCTCTACGCCATCCGCAAGGAGGTGGTGGGAGCAGTGGAGTTACTGCTGTCCTACAGGAAGCCCAGTGGAGAGAAACAGGTGTGTGAGGGTGTGACTTCCTTAGTTTGAACTTTTCTGACTGGATAGCATGTAGCTGTATTGATACGCCATACCTAATTTTGAGGAGAACAAGAAAAACTGAAAAATAAGGCATGTTGCAGAGTAGGGCTGGGTTGATTGATTATACTGATTACTGGATTTTAATCAATCTTCATTTTGATGAGGCGATGTCGATTCTTAAATCCCAAGATCGATCTTTTGCTGTTTTCAGATGTGTGAACAAAACTTTACTAAATATTATTTGTTGCACGCCTCCCATCTAATAATCACGATAAACTTTGTTCTTTGTTGCTTCTGATATCAGCTCTCAAATTCTGTCAGTATTGTCTCGAAATTTAATAATTACCGTTTTGGCGCTCTTTTACACTTCTCTGGCGTCACTATCCACATCAGTTCAAGCGGCAGCGCGGATCGCATGTGAACCGTTCATCTCTTCCTCTTGTTATAGCACAAAATATACAAGAATGAACTTCAGAAGGTATGTTGAAGAAAAATCAGTAGAGTACAAACTTATTGAAATATATTATGTGCCATGTAATCACTCAATCAGTATCTCAACTGTGGAAAGACGTAAAGAAAACAGCTTGTGAACAATATGTCATGTAACATTATTACATTTACCTCAGTAAAGCCATTCAATCTAGTTAGTAAAGTAGAAAAAACTCCACAGAGCAGATTTTTTCTAACGAATTGGAGTATAAAATAAGAAACATAATTATATCTTTAAAAAGATTATATAGTTTATATAGCCTAAAAACTGCTTTACTGTATGTGCAATATAAAATTTTATTTGAGCAATGATGACGCCTATTATATATAGGCCTATATTTAACCTTTATAGTAATGTACCAACATGGTTCCCTGAATACTTTACAGCATTAGTTGAGAGATTGTTTTTCTTAAGAAAAATTGACTGACATACTGTATGTCCAAATTAATCAAGAGCTTGTGAATCGGAATCAAATGGATTTGCGAAATCTGTGTTAATACCCAGATCTATTGCAGAGGTCCTGCCCTTTTTACTGTATGCTTTGTTGTTGATTTTTTTTTCTATACACTCCACTTTTCTATACACGGGTTGGGGGGGTTGGGGGGGGGGGGTAATAGAGATTAATAAATGCCTATGCTATGGTGCAATAGGTGACTTAATGTATTGTCTCATGTTCAAGGGTCCATAAGGTCTCTGATCATTTCAGTCTAATCCTCAGAATGTTTTATCGGTCTGTCACAATTTAAGACAAGCTTTGCAATGATTATTAAAGGATGGGGGCAGGACTGTTTATGAAAATTCACAAAATAAAATGTTCATGGTCATCTTTAATACTATGCACAGTGCATTGGCCTAAACTATAACCCTAAAGATTTAAAAGTTCTTTAATACCGCAATTTTACTATTATTTACTGCTCTCTTTGCACTCTTTAAGGTTCCTTCTCTTATGATGAACACACAGTTTTCGGAGTTTACACCCGATATCACACCAATCATGTTGGCTGCCCACACTAACAACTACGAGATAATCAAGCTCCTAGTTCAACGAAAAGTCACCATACCGCGGCCACACCAGATCCGCTGTGATTGCGTGGAATGTGTATCCAGCTCCGAAGTGGACAGCCTGCGGCACTCCCGTTCACGTCTGAACATTTACAAAACTCTTGCTAGCCCCTCTCTCATCGCCCTTTCCAGCGAGGATCCCATCCTCACGGCGTTCAGGCTGGGCTGGGAGCTAAAGGAGCTCAGTAAGGTGGAGAATGAGTTCCGGCAGGAGTACGAGGAGCTATCGCAGCAGTGCAAACTTTTCGCCAAAGACCTGCTGGATCAGGCCCGTAGCTCCCGTGAGCTGGAGACCATCCTCAATCATCGGGATGACCACAGCGAGGAGCTGGACCCCCTTGAATGCAGAGACCTGGCCAAGCTCAAGCTAGCCATCAAGTACCACCAAAAAGAGGTGAGCATTCAAGACTGAGAGATTTTAACACATAAGCGCATGAATGTTTCACCAATCATTAATACATATTTGGGTCTTTGGATCCATATCCACAGATGGCTCTAACTGCTGCAATAGTATAACACTCTAGAATAAAAGAATAGATTGAAGTATATTTTGTTACCTTTTAGAACTTGTTCAATTTGAGCAGATGCTTTTTACCATAATCTCTGTCATTGACAGAGCTCACATCCACAGTACATTCAGCATCTCGCTCATATATCAATCTTTTGATCGCTGACAGCTTCTTCGGCAGATCCACCATCAAGTGATAGTGACAATAATATTTGATTGCATTCAGTAAATTGATGAGCCATTTCAAGTTTTGCTGATGATATTTGTTTATTCTTTTGTTTTATACCTGCTGTAATTGAGTGAAACATCACATCATCATTGTGTATAAGACATTGCCACCTTGAGGAATACATGTGCACTTATTTCACTTATTGAGCATCAGAGATTAAAGTATTGTTCCACAGAAAAAAAATACTTACATTATTACATACCTCGGGTCCCTAGCCACCCTATACACATTTTAATCAGCTGTTCAAAGGTTTGCTATAGTTGCAACGGAGAGGCATCTGTGATAAGGAGAAAGAAAACCTTTCTCCTTTATGCTCGATTCTCACTCTCTGGCCTTCTTCAAGCTGCTGGTAAGGTGACCGTAGAGAAGTCTACAGAGGTGAGGTCTCAATCAGCAGCTTCCAGGAGATATATCCCTCTTTGGGGGTCCGTGAGGGCTGAATGAGTAATTTTAGCAGAGATAGAAGAAACGTATATCTCTTCTCGCTCTAGGCTCCCCCCTCCAGCTTACGTTGAGGTTGGGTCTGGCAAGAGGCAGACAGAGTGAAATTTTATACTGCTATGTTGCCTTCTCCAGATTTGAGATTAAAGCAAACTAGTGAGTCTGCTTGCTTCTCAAATAGAACCCTTCTTATTGCTTACACCCTACATATGAGGGACCCCTTCACTTTTAGTCTGCACTTCCCCTAGATCTGCTGGTGAAACTGTTGAGAGATATCTTAGAAGGGCTGATCTTGGTGGGATGATGCAAGCCCCTCACTTTCGGTTGCTCTCCCTTCATATTCTGGAGATGTTGGTAGAAATCTGTTGAGGCAGCAGTTTATTGAAGCAGTGGCCATGGTGAGATGACCCCTTCACTGTTTAGCTGCTCTGCCATGGTACAACCACTTTTCAGAACTAGGTGAGAAGTAGAAGAGTGGCGACACTGCAGGTTGTAGCCTGAAATGCCGAAGTTAGAAAGTTAGCATTTTGCACGCTCCCTTTGGAAAGCTGCTCAAGTACCCCCTAGAGCAGTGGTTTTCAATCCTGGTCCTGGGGACCCACAGCTCTGCACATTTTATTTGTCTCCTTTATCTGACACACCCAGTTCAGTTCATAGAACTCTTTCCTAACGAGCTAATGATCTGAATCAGGTGTGTTAAAAGAGGGAGACATACAAACTGTGCAGAGCTGTGGGTCCCCAGGACCAGGATTGAAAACCACTGCCCTAGAGTAGAGCAAGGTGGAAGGAATTATGATGGGTACTTAATACAATACTCCCTCTGCTTCGTTTACCTCCCTCCCCAACTATTGTTGAGTCGTGAAGTAGGGGTATTGCTCTCCTTTGGATGGGAGCTCTAATAAAGATGAATCACTAGCTATAGTGGGTTTTGAGTAGAGTACCTTTACTCTAGACAGAGTATGAGCTGCTCTCCCCAAATGACATTGGGGTATTTAAGTAGGGCCTGAGCTCCCCTGCAGCTCCCTTGGGGTTAGAGCCTGGGTGATGAGAGTTACTGGGCACACTGCGTTATGCCCTGTCTTCATTTTCATCCATTTTATGGGCAATCCAGTGCATTGGACTGAACTGTATGCCTAAAGATTGACAACTTCCTTAATAGCGCAATTTAATTATTATTTATAAGTAGGGATGTAAGCTTCCCCTTGCAGGAGCAGCAACATCGAATAAGTCTTAAGGGCTAATTACTGTGGGTTTTAGCACCTTGCTTGCTTCCTGTTTTAGGCTGCTCAAGTACCCCTTAGGTTAAAGGAGGGTGAATGGATGCTGGGCAACTCATGAACTTCATATGTTTCGTTTACCTCTCTCCCCAACTATTGTTGAATCTTGAAGCAGGGATATCACTCCCCTTTAGATGGGTGCACTAGCTTTAACAGGTTTTTGGTGGAGTGCCTTATTTCAAGGCAGGGTTTAGCTGTTCTCTCCCAGTTATATTGGAGTCTTGAAGTAGTACCTAAGCTCCCTGCGGTTCCCTGGGGGTTTAGAGTCTGGGTGATAAGAGTGGTGGGCACACTGCATTATGTCCTGCTCTTATTCTCCCTCCTTTCCTGAGTAGGAGTAAGGATTAGGCTCCCTCTTAGAGGGGCAGCAATAGTGAAGGTTGTAGCCTGAAGTTTTTAGTACTTTGCATGCTCTCTTTCTTAAGATGATCTTAAGATACCCATTAGAGTAGAGCAGGGTGAACAGAATTGTGTTCGGTATTTATACATTTCCTTACTTTCGTTTGTCCTCTCCCCAGCTATGGTTGGGTCTTGAAGTAGGACCGTATGCTCCCCTATGACTAGGTATCCTGCATTCTCTAGTTGATCCATGCTTGGAGAACCTGCCAAGTATAGAGGCAGTTTGCCTGGTGGCCTCCCTTCTTGTTATGGTAGCACTATAATCAGATGAGTGCATGAAGTCTCCTAGTGGTTCCGGTAGAAGAACTTTTCTCAAGTAAGGAGACCCTAGAGTAATTAAGCATAGCTTAAGCTCCCCTGTGATTTCCCTAGGGGTTAAGTTGCAATAGCAAGATTTTTTTTGCTTTCCCTTCTGATGAAGTTAAGGTTATATTCTTCCCATTGGAAGTAATGGTAGATCAAATGTCATAGTTTAATTACTCCCTTTAATAAGCTACTCCCTAAAAGGCTTGTCAAAGTTTTGACATAGCTTGTACTTTATAAGAGCCTTTGCTCTTGGGGCCTTTAAGGCTTGTTGCCTGCCCTGTATGGGAGGAAGAAAGATTGTAAAGGCCTGGACTTCCCTTGCAATAGAGCTTAGAAGCTTGTATACATTCTCTTACTATTAGAGAAAAAAAATTGGGCTTAGGGAGTGGCTCCACTAAGCAGTTTATGAGTCACAATTTGCACCCTGGGGGTTGATGACACTCTGACTCTAGCTATCTGTAGAGTCAATCAATGATATGGCCAATATGTTTGTTCTTATCCACAGCTTAGTAAGGCAGGCATTCCCTCAGCATGACATAGTGGGTACTGGTTCCCCATTACGTCATTATCAGACTCAGCGTTGAAGTTCCACTTTGAAGGGGAAGGTTAGGCAACGTCTTAGATAATGCAACCCGGTTCCATGCATCAGCTTTGCCTGCATATCTTCTTCAGACAAAAGAGTTCATGACGTGTCTAGCAGGCACTCTCTTATACTCATTGGCGCTCTTCTTGTGACATCATGGTCTGCCGTCAATGTGTTACTATTGGATCACTCCATAGTGTCATTATCAGATGCAGTGTCTCTGCATACGTAACCTAAGACAGTATTGGTTTAGATTATTTTGACTCTGCATCAAATGCAGTGGTGAAGTACTCCTCCTGAAACATTTTGATTTTGAGGAAATTCTAGTTTTTGTTTTGTTTTTTTATTAATCAACAATACACCTCTTGCCAAAGAATGCATGAAAAGAATGCATACATTTGAACAATTAAAACAATAAAGCAAAAAAAAATATTAATAAATAAAACAAACCACTGAACCAGGACAGTCAAAAGAATCAGAACCTAAATCAGAACTTTTGTATTTCCCTAGAAATGTTATATCGAGATGAATGGCTTTCAAAAGAACAGTTGTTTTCTAATGCTGATGGTATCATTGCAAAATTCTTTCATGAGAGGTGACAGTTCAAGGTGCTGTTGCATTTTGAATCATTTGTCTGTTTAATAGGACCCCACAGCAGAATGGACTTCTTTCATAAAACTTAATAACATTTCAGAGAAATGTAGGCCAGGCAGCAAGAGAAAATGTGATTTGAGAAACATTATTTATACAATTATTATGGACAGGCACATCATTTTACTCCTGCATTGTGTGAAAGGGAGCCATTTTTGGAGCATTTGTGATTGTTTTTTTTTGTTTTTGTTTTTTACAATGCTCAAATATAAACCTTCGATTAACTGTAAAATTGTGTGCAGTCATGGAAAGTTGGGGTGGTGTGGCAAAGTGGAGTGTAGATGAAAGGTTTTAGGTTTAAAGCTCTCACAAGGGTTATTTTGTTCATCATCAACATTGGGATCTTGAGCAAGTTGTACCAGGTAACTCCAGGGGAATAGACTTTGTAATAAGCATAATGTACATTTTACTAAAGACTAAATTAATACTTATTCAAAGTCTGACAGGTTGATTTAATAACTGATTTCCCCTCAAATGCCTGTGGAAAAAGGTATTACGTAATGATGTGAATGCCAAACCTCACTGATGTTTACCAGCTTTAAAACCTCTTCAAAATTGATGCTGTTGTGTAATGTTTGTTATCAATTTACATTTATGCATTTAGCAGATGCTTTTATCCTTAACGACATGAGCACTTTGTCACAGATGCAACAATATTCAAAACAATACCAAACTTTGTAGCAAATTACAATAGAGCAACATAAACATTTCATCGCAGAGCCAACGATATAGAAAACAAAACAATAATGATATAGAACTACTATAGGGGGTAATTTTTTACTGAGTAATATTAATTAACTACTTGTACTTACTATAGGGGTAGGGTAGTATTAGGGTTTGGTTGAAGGTTAGTTGCATGTAACTATGCCTAATTTATAGTTATTATAGTAAATACATGTAACAAGGACACATTAAAATAAAGTGTTACCAATAATATCTAAGACATTTTTTATATTTTAGTTGGAAATGTGCTTAATTTTCATTAAATTAATATCACAATAGATATAATTGTAACTTTCTTTTTTCCCAAAAATAACTTTCTTTTTGCAAGACATATGACCGTTTTCACAAGATTACTCTTTTACAAATTATTCGTTTTTCATAATACTTTCATAGTATTATATACCAAGTAGTCAAGAATGTGTACAAAACATCTGTAAGAATTTAACATCTATTTGATCTTTTCAACAATTTGTATGCTTTAATTCCAAGCGATCAAAAATATTATGCCAGGTCATGAATTGCATCTTTATCTGTATTTGTCATGAATTTTCACAGGCTTATTAGATCATTCACCCATTATTATATTCTGACAGTTTGTAGCTCAACCCAACTGCCAGCAGCTCCTGGCAACACTTTGGTACGATGGTTTCCCGGGTTGGAGACGTCGTCACTGGGCAGTGAAGCTCGTCACTTGCTTCATCATTGGCCTGCTCTTCCCTATCTTCTCCCTCATATACCTTCTGGCTCCAAAGAGCACTCTGGGAACCTTCATCAAGAAACCTTTCATCAAGTTCATCTGCCACACTGCCTCCTACTTGACCTTCCTCTTGCTCCTCCTCCTCGCCTCACAGCATATTGTGCAAACGGACCTGCATGTACAGGGACCTCCACCCACCATTGTGGAGTGGTTGATCTTACCCTGGGTTCTAGGTAAGATTCCCTGGGTACATTTGAGCACAACAGTGGGATGGATGGATGGATGGATGGGTAGGTTGGTGTACTTCAAATCTTAAAAGTATATTTTAAAAAACTGTACTTATTGTACAGTATTGTACCCTTACTGTACAGTTATTCCATATTAACTAAATAAAATGCCACAGTGTACATAAAGAGATTACACTTATTACAAACTTAAGTACTCTTTTAAATAGTGCACTTTGCAATAATGTCAAATTAAACATTTTGAATCATTATTTTTCTTAAAAAAAGTTGTGCTTTATAGAAATACACTTATTTCAATGTCTTGACTAACATACTAAAGCACATGTAAAGTACCTGATTATAATTTTAACTGTGTTATTCAGTATTACATTTCAAATGTATATATTGCAACTTCACCTTTACAGATGTGCAATTACAAATATATTTGAATACATGATATACAAGTTTCAATAGTGTATTTTAATTTACCATAAATGCTTGTGAGCACATTCATCAATTTTTCAAAAAGATGTCCTACATGTAAATAACATGCAAGTAAATATCTAAAAACATTATTCAGTTTGCACTTAGGTAGGCCTATATTCTTTTAAAGTAGCCTATTTAGATGTAACTTAACTTCCATAATAAGTACTCTTTATATATATATATATATATATATATACACTCACCGGCCACTTTATTAGGTACCCCATGCTAGTAACGGGTTGGACCCCCTTTTGCCTTCAGAACTGCCTCAATTCTTCGTGGCATAGATTCAACAAGGTGCTGGAAGCATTCCTCAGGGAGTTTGGTCCATATTGACATGATGGCATCACACAGTTGCCGCAGATTTGTCGGCTGCACATCCATGATGCGAATCTCCCGTTCCACCACATCCCAAAGATGTTCTATTGGGTTGAGATCTGGTGACTGTGGAGGCCATTTTAGTACAGTGAACTCATTGTCATGTTCAAGAAACCAATTTGAAATGATTAGAGCTTTGTGACATGGTGGAAGTAGCCATCAGAGGATGGGTACATGGTGGCCATAAAGGGATGGACATGGTCAGAAACAATGCTCAGGTAGGCCGTGGCATTTAAACGATGCCCAATTGGCACTAAGGGGCCTAAAGTGTGCCAGGAAAACATCCCCCACACCATTACACCACCACCACCAGCCTGCACAGTGGTAACAAGGCATGATGGTTCCATGTTCTCATTCTGTTTACGCCAAATTCTGACTCTAACATCTGAATGTCTCAACAGAAATCGAGACTCATCAGACCAGGCAACATTTTTCCAGTCTTCAACTGTTCAATTTTGGTGAGCTCTTGCAAATTGTAGCCTCTTTTTCCTATTTGTAGTGGAGATGAGTGGTACCCGGTGGAGTCTTCTGCTGTTGTAGCCCATCCGCCTCAAGGTTGTGCGTGTTGTGGCTTCACAAATGCTTTGCTGCATACCTCGGTTGTAACGAGTGGTTATTTCAGTCACTGTTGCCCTTCTATCAGCTCGAACCAGTCTGGCCATTCTCCTCTGACCTCTGGCATCAACAAGGCATTTCCGCCCACAGAACTGCCGCTCACTGGATGTTTTTTCTTTTTCGGACCATTCTCTGTAAACCCTAGAGATGGTTGTGCGTGAAAATCCCAGTAGATTAGCAGTTTCTGAAATACTCAGACCAGCCCTTCTGGCACCAACAATCATGCCACGTTCAAAGTCACTCAAATCAACTTTCTTCCCCATACTGATGCTCGGTTTGAACTGCAGGAGATTGTCTTGACCATGTCTACATGCCTAAATGCACTGAGTTGCCGCCATGTGATTGGCTGCTTAGAAATTAAGTGTTAACGAGCAGTTGGACAGGTGTACCTAATAAAGTGGCCGGTGAGTGTATATATAGTAAAGTGTACTTCTTTACTTATGTACCTTTTTCAAACTTCATTTCAAAGTCTTTTTATGGCTTAGAACTTTTTTTTAAATCCCTATGCATAAAATGAATAAGAAAAATAAAGTGGGCGGACACTGTAATGCTGGGATCCAAAGTGTCAAATTGTAGCCTCAAATATCCATTTAGCTCAAATAATGACGAAACGATGATCTGTAACATTCATTTAGCTGGCTCATTCCTCAAGCAGTAAAACTGGTCGACTGCACAGGAAATAGACACGGCTATGGTTTTATCCCTCTGATGAAGTAAATGAATACTCATGAATTATTGATATAACAATTTATTGACCTCAAGACATAAGCAGACGAAATCATATCTGAAGCCCCAGTTCAGAACTGATTACAGTAGGGCTCAATCATAATGGCTTGAGGTTTTCTTTCAAAGTACACACAAGCCCAGAAGTAGACACAAGTGGAGGCTTGAAACTAATTATCCATAGTCTGGAGGGCAGGTGAAATCTTCTAGAAAGGAGTTTCCTTTATTTCTGTGAATAAGAACCCAAGCACTAGGCAGTGGAACATTGAAAAATATATATTTGTGTAACATACATAACATAAGTGTACTGTATGTTCTGTGTTCCACCCTTCAGTGTTTTTGGTTCTGTCCTGTGACCTAGTTTTTGTCAATCTGTTTAATTGTTCATTTTTTTTCACCTGTGTCTTGTTTATCAACTTATTAGCTTCCTTTGTTTGTTCATGCTTATAAGCTTTCAGTTCTCCCTTAGGGTACGTTAACATGTCAACGATATGCTTAAAACTGAGAAGTTTTTGAGTTTTCCCGCGAACAGACTTGACAAAACGATCCCCATTCACACGGATCCGTGAAAACGACTAAAAACGCTGTATTCTGCTGCCAGGCCAATATGACGATGAAACGCCATAGACTGAACACGTAATACGCATGTGCATGACATCATCGTCTTCAGAGATTTGTGTTTTGAAACCCGTTGTCAAAAAGTTTCAGGCACCCAAAATGCCATTGTCGTGTAAATGAACGGCCAAAACACATAAAAAGTGTTACGTTTTTACGTACGTACGTAAACAGCCCCTTAGTGTTTGTCAGCTCTCGTTAATGATAGCATCTTGTATTTCTCATGAGTTAAACCTGTTTCCTGAGTATTTGTTATTAAAGCCTGTCTCTTTGAAGTATTCCTCGTCGTCCGATTTTATATACATCACGTTACATGATGACCAATTCGTCCGAATTTGACGAGTGATTAAAAGATGGCTAATTCGTAACAATTCGTACGACCTCACTTGTACGAATTAGTACGATTTTTGCTAAAACGTACATATTTGACGAGTTGCCCAATTCGTATGAATTCGTACGAATGACCTACCCCTGACCCCGCCCCTAAACCTACCCATCACGTGGGTTTAGACAAATCGTACAAATTCATACGAATGAGGTCGTACGAATTGTTACGAATTAGCCATCTTTTAATCACTCGTCAAATTCGGACGAATTGGTCGTGAGATAGCGTGACAAGCAGTATTTGTTTGTTCTTTAGTAAAAAAATAATAATAATAAAAAATTAAAATTAATTCGAGGGGCAAGAAATGTTGCAGAATCTGGGGAAGGGTGGAGAATTTCGTTTTAAGGTTTCTCAATGTAATTTATTTGTTTCATTTGTGTGTGGCTGTGGACACCACAAACATCAAATATAAAAAGAAAATCAATCAATCAATCTAAAGGGCATTTTTCTGCATACTTTGCACTTGATTTATTTTCTTGTACGCAAACTGCAACTTTTTTTTACTGTACTTTTTTCATACTGATTTGAAGTTGTTGTAATTTTTTTATCCTTGAAACAGGCTTCATCTGGGCAGAGATTAAAGAGATGTGGGATGGAGGTTTCACAGAGTACATCCATGACTGGTGGAACCTGATGGATTTTGCGATGAACTCCCTCTACCTGGCCACCATATCTCTTAAAATGGTGGCCTACTTTAAGGTTGATACCATCCTTTTTATGCAAGCTACAGTCCTGGAGTAGATACCTTTACAGAAGACCACTTGTAAATAGTTTGTTTCAGGTTGTACAGAGTTTGAGCAGGACTTAAAATGAAATGATTGTAGAAGAAGGAATATGGTTTTCACCACAGTGTCTTTATTTATCTCACATACAGTATGTTCTCTCTCCATCAGTACAATAGCTCTCGTCCTCGTGTGGAGTGGGAGATGTGGCACCCTACGCTCATTGCCGAGGCTCTCTTCGCCATCGCCAACATCTTCAGCTCGCTGCGTCTCATCTCTCTGTTCACCGCCAACTCTCACTTGGGCCCACTGCAGATTTCTCTTGGGCGCATGCTGCTGGACATCCTCAAGTTCCTTTTCATCTACTGTCTGGTGCTGCTGGCGTTCGCCAACGGCCTCAACCAGCTCTATTTCTACTACGAGACGAAGGCGTCCGAAGAGCCCAACCACTGCAAAGGGATCCGTTGTGAGAAGCAGAACAATGCCTTCTCCACGTGAGTGAAACGCACTGTGCAGTTGTTAAGTAGAATATCCAGGTTACCCCTTGAGAAATTGAAGTACATTTTAGCCAACTTTTAGAAAAAGTTGAACTGATGTATTGTTTTCGGACACCATAATGACCATAATGGGGGGGATGGGAGGATGGGGGTAACCTTAGTAAATCACCTATGTAAATCACCTTAGTAAATCACCTTGCATGATTCATTTCAATTCTCTTATAGGGAAACTCCTACAAAATGCATATGCAATAAGGTCAGCCGCAATAAAAAAAACTGGTTACAACTTTTTGACTATTTTTCAAATAAAAGATTTCCTGTCTCATAAATTTAACTTTTAATTTAACGATTAACTTTTGCTTAAAAAGAGTGAAAAACGCCATAATTCCTCTAAGTTAAAAAAAGGAACTTAACCATGTAACAAACATTACTGCTTATAAAAAACTAGCACTTCCTAAAACTTGAACTGTTAAGAACTTTCTGGAACTTTCTAGGATTGTTGGGAACTTTGTGGAATTTTCTAGAACTGTTTTTCTAGAACAATTCAAATCTTGGTATCTATATAGTATCTATCTATCTATATGGTATCTATCTATCTATCTATCTATCTATCTATCTATCTATCTATCTATCTATCTATCTATCTATCTATCTATCTATCTAGAGAGAGAGAGAGAGAGAGAGAGAGAGAGAGAGAGAGAGAGAGAGAGAGAGAGAGAGAGAGAGAGAGAGAGAGAGAGAGAGAGAGGATTAAACAACGTTTATTAAGTTATCATTTATAACTCATACAGATTCACCATAATAATAAAAATAAATAAATAATAGATAAAAACCCATAAAACATTAAATATTCAAAACCAACTGACCCTCAAAAACAACACATAAGATATCTTTAAAACACCAAATATCACAAAAAACCATTTCATTTTTCACCAGTTTGTAGTACGCAAATTCAATTTTGATTCTTCCACCCACTAGGTTTCTAAACATCATTTCCACCTCAGTAGTCCCAAGTTGAGTTCCTTTATTTTTCCTTGTTTTCCAGATTGCTAATTTTGCTGTTCCCAACAAATAATTTAATAAACATGTCATCCTTCTCATAGAATACCTATACTTAACACCTCCAATAAATATTTGATCTGAAAAGTCTTCCTCAAAATCTTTAAACAAATCTTTAAGAAAATTAAAAAGATCTTGTAATCTTCCACATTTTAAAAATAAATGCTCAAAGTCTTCTTGATTTCCACAAAATCTACATTCCCCACCCACTGCTGGATTCAAGTGTGCCACATATCTGTCAGTAGCTATCGCCCCGTGAATAAGCCTCCACTGTAGATCCGCAGTACGCTTCTCTATAGGAGGCTTATACAGGGCTCTCCACCTGTCCCTCGCGAGGAAGTCTGGTCCTAACAAACCTGGCCACTTTGAAGCTTTTATTCTCTTGAGAAAAACTTGATGTGTGACTTTTACTGAAGAATAGTAAATCGCTTTCTTTGACGTAGATTTAAAACAGTCCAGCTGCGGTGTATCAAAAGACAAAATTGAGTCTATATTTACATCCACTGTTTCCTCAAGTATGGCTGGAGACACTCTGATGTTTGGAAATTCCTCTTCTATATCTCTTAAGTCCAGTGACCGACCTCTTTCAATGTACTCTCTGTGCCCGCTTGGCAATACATTCCAGATCTCCTCAGTCAGTTTTGAGACAAGACGTTCAGATTTCAATCCTGTCACTTCTTTAAGATTCCCAACCGGCTTCCACCCATCATCGTCCAAGAGGTGTCTGATCTTTACAACCCCATTACGCTTCAAAACTGTAGATACGCTTACTGAAGACAACAGCCTTGTTCGGATCATTGGGTTGAAAAATAATGGTTCTTCCAGAATCCAATGCCCTGTGTCATCACTACTCCGATCCACTTTAAAAACGGTTCTCCAGGAATGAAGCATTGACTTATAGAAGGGAGTAATCTCTGACAGACTCACCTTCCCCAAGTCCATTATAAACAAATGTTTATCCAACCCGAGCCCACCTGCGTTCTTCAAAATTAATCTTGCAGTATGGGCCCAAGTCAAGTCTTTGTGATATAAAAGTCTTTGTGCTGCTTGTATCCTGTAAGAAATCAACCGACTTCTCACATCCACGAGCCCTTGCCCTCCTTCATGGACAGGTAAGTAAAGTGCTGAAGCATGGATCCAGTGTGCCCCACTCCAAAAAAAGTTCACAATTATCCTTTGTATTTTACTGACCAACTCCACTGGAGGCTCCATAACAGTCATTTTATGCCACAATGTCGAGGCCGCCAAGTTGTTAATGACCAAGACTCGACCTCTGTACGACAACTGTGGTAATAGCCAGGTCCATTTAGATAATCGGGCTATCACTTTCTCCAGCAAACCCTCCCAGTTTCTCATCTGAAAATTTTCCTTTCCTAAAAATACACCTAATGTTTTTATCCCCTCTCTACCCCAAATTAAACCACATGGTAGTTTTGGAGGTCCTACTTCTTCCCACTTACCAATAATAAAACCTTCACTTTTCCCCCAATTCACTTTGGCTGAGGATGCTTTTTCATATTTACCAATAATTCCCGTTAAAACCTTCACATCATTTTGACTTTTTATAAACACTGTAACATCATCAGCATACGCTGACAGGGATACTTTAAAGGTACTCTTTAAATCTGGAAATGAAATACCATTTAATTCTTTCCTTAATCTGCACAAAAGTGGCTCGATTACTAGACTATATAACTGTCCAGAAAGTGGACAGCCTTGTCTGATACCCCTGGACATCATGATAGGTGCACTCAATCCACCTCCAGCTTTAACCATAACAAATGCATTATGATACAACAATCTTATATAAGATATAAAATTATCACCAAACCCGAATTCCTTTAATACATTAAAAAGATAGTTATGATCAACTTGGTCAAAAGCTTGTTCTTGGTTAAGCGAAAGAATCCCCAAATTAAGACTATTACTTTGACTAAAATCAATCACATCACGCAAAAAAAATAAATTATCCATAATTGATCTATCTGGTATACAATAAGACTGGTCTCTATGAACTAATACATATAAATATTTTTTAAGTCTATTTGCTAATACCTTTGAGAATATTTTATAATCTAAACACAGCAACGACACTGGCCTCCAGTTTTTTAATAGTCCCAAATCTCCTTTTTTAGGAATTAAGGATAGAACTGCTCTACAACAACTTGTGGGTAATGTCTTTCTTTCGATGCAATCTATCAGCAGTTCATTTAAATCTTGTCCAAGTAATTCCCAGAAAGCCTGATAGAACTCCACAGGTATACCGTCCACTCCTGGAGATCTTCCAGGAGATAATTGTCTCATTGCATCAGTGAGCTCTTGCAAAGTTATTGGTTCATCCAGCGATTGTCTTTGTTCATCTCTCAACTGGGGCAGATCACCAAGCAAATCATCCATACATCCAGAGTCACAACTCTGAGCATCATATAATTTAGAATAAAAGTCTATTGTCAGTTTCCTCATTTCCAGAGGGTCAGAAGTTGTAGTTCCATTCGGACGTCTTAAATGACACAACTGTTTTTGTAAAAAACTTTTCTTTTCCAAATTAAAAAAAATATGCACTAGGAGCATCCATATCTTTGATGGAGCAAATTCTTGATCTTATGAGTGCTCCTTTTACCTTTTCTTGTAAAAAAGACCCAAGTTCTTCTTTTTTCTTATTTAACCTTTCATTATTTACAGTTCCCATATTATTTAACATGTCTTTTTCCAGAGATGCAATGTCTCTTTGTAAACTTTCCACTGTTGTTTTCATCATTGCAGTAGTATGTGAAGTATAGTTTTGGCAAAAAAGTCTGATGTTAGCTTTACCTACATCCCACCATTGACCAAGATTTTCAAAACCGTCTTTCTTAAGTTTCCACTTATCCCAGAAAAACTTAAACTTTTCACAGAAACTGATATCCTGAAATAATTTGACATTAAAATGCCAAAAATAACAAGGTTTAACCACTTTCTTTAAATTAAAATCAAAAGTAATCATATGGTGATCTGAAAAACCATTAGGCAATATGGATACATTCATTACCTTATTATTCCAAATCTTCCCCAAATAAAATCTATCTAACCGAGCACCACTAACTTGATTATTCGATGCCTTTAACCATGTATATTGTCTAACTCCTATTCCTACTTCTCCACAAATCTATTAAATCAAACTCATTTATAATTTTTAACAATTGAATGCTTGACTGATTGTGTGGCTCCTCTCCATTCCTATCAATTATGAAATGTGTAGTGCAATTCCAATCACCCCCAATTATCATGCACACAGTATCATCAATTTTCTGAATAGCTGTTTTCAATTCCATAAAAAAACCCACACGCTCATGTCCATTATTAGGAGCATATACATTAATTAAAACAAATATAGTTCCTTCAGACTCTACTTTAGTTAAAAGTGCTCTTCCTTTTACAATTTCCTCTGTTGATAGAATATTTACATTTAGATGTTTGGAAAAAAGAATAGCTACCCCAGCACTTGTGTTTGTTCCATGGCTAAGAGCATACTTCCCTTCCCACCACATACCCCACTGAGTCTCATTATCATTACTTGTATGTGTTTCCTGCAAAAAGACTATATCGAATTTTTGAACAAACTCTGAAATCATGGCTAATTTACTCCGATCTCTACCCCCATTTATATTTAAGGAACTGATTTTTAGAAGTTCCATAGAAAAATGAAAATAGAGAAAACCAAACGTGAATAGATACAAGAAATAAAGTATGAAATTCACCCTGTGCATTTGAGCATTCTATTTTTGCAAAGCTCTTTTTTCTTTCCGTAATTTAGCCAGAATCTTCTTCAGCCTAAACCTCTTCTTCTTGCATAGAGCTTCATAACTGACAACTTTCAGCATTGACACTACTGACCATATGAATTTGTCTATATCCGGGAAAAAATCCTTCACCTCAACAGTTTTTCCAAACGTCGAGTC